AGCCTCTGATCACAGTGCATTATTTTTTAAAAATAAAAAAATGAATAAAATTATTTTGTTCCTGTTGTTTATCAGTTTTAGTTGTCTCAGCTCCGGGGTATCCTGAAAAATAAATGAAATTTAATTTTCTTATTTAAAAACTGTTTTAAATATTATATTGGCTTCCATTTAAAGCATGACATGTCAAGTTCACTATAGTACCTTTAAAGCTAGATTGCGTAAGATTTAAAAAATTAAGTATTTAAAATTATCATCTCTGCTTTAGAAAAAAATGGCGGAAATTGTAAGAATTAAACACTTTTCAAGCTAAAACAACATCTTAATCTTCCACCAACCAATATAACTTTATAAAGATTTCAAGCTAGAACAATGACTTTATTTCCACCAATCAATATAACTTTATAAAGATTTCAAGCTAATCTATCTATCTATCTATCTATCTATCTATCTATCTTTACGTGATTTTTTACATTTTTTATTTTTTTATCGATTTTGATGGTTATTATATCGTTAGAACTGACGAGGGTCAACCCAGACCGAAATATATTTTCAATAAATGTGGAACTAACATCTACTTTTTTACTCTACAGAGGTTTGGTCCATCACCATCACTGAATTTTAAATCTATCTATCTATCTATCTATCTATCTATCTATCTATCTATCTATCTATCTATCTATCTATCTATCTATCTATCTATCTATCTATCTATCTATCTATCTATCTATCTATCTATCTATCTATCTATCTATCTATCTATCTATCTATCTATCTATCTATCTATCTATCTATCTATCTATCTAATACCTGGAAAAGGGTTGATGGAAGGGTATCTACACTGTTTCCTGAGAGATCTAAGCTCACTAGGCTGGCTAGCCCTCTGAGCGATCCTTCAGCGATCTAAAAGTAAAAAAGTGAAAACAATTTCCCCCCAGTGTGGCCTCTAGTCAACCGGAGGTATGACAAATGCATTTCTAAATGAGTGAACGCTGCTCTTGATATAATTATTAATTTTGATAATTGTTCATAATTATGATTAATTGTTAGTCCAAACTATTAATTACTTTCAGACCCTCTTTAAGTATTAATTACTTCAATATAGCGAAACATGTTTTTTTTGTGTGTCTATTTTAGTGTATGCATGTCTTTTGCTTGTCTGTTTGGTGAGTTAGTGTGCTTGTCTGTCAGACTGCTAACTGCATTAAAATGAAAAAGTTTTAAAATCTTTCAACATGAAAATTTTAGAAACTTTTTAAAATTGTTTGTTAAAAAAAGAATGCAGAACTTATAGTTTTAATATTTTCAACATTCCAATTTTATATATATTTATAAATATAATTTTAAATGTAATCTTCTTGTTAAAAAATTCAAAGAATGAAATTAAAAATGTTTTCATATTTTTCATATTTTCATATTTTTCATATTTTTCGGTTAAAATATAAAATATCGTTCTTCTGAGTTAATTTTGTATATTTGATATATTTAGTGTATATTTGATACAATATATTTTTAATTAGGAGAAACGTACTAATCCCCTTGAAAAGCTAACTCCTCCCAAAAAGATAAAACTGTTTTACAACTGATTAAAGGAAACATTATTCAAATTTTCTTATTTTCTAAAAAAAAAATGGTATTCTGCCAAATGTTCCTATTTTTTTCAAATCTCAAAAAACTTTACATTGAAGAAATTCCTTTGGATGAGATATTTATAAGAACAAAAAAGTTTTGATTTTCTAGTTTGTAACTAAATATTTATATTGCTTTTTTCACACAAAAAAAACTACAAACAACGAATTTGTTTGTTTTATCTACTTGAAATGGGTTTGGAAATCCGCGAATCGGTTTTCAGAAAATTCGCTGCCGGACATTTTCAATTGATTTTCAAACAGAACCAAAAACGAAACAAGGGATTCGAAAAAAGTCCAAATTGGTTCAAAGTTTTCCGTTTAATTCACAACTTTAGAGTTTGAAATATATTATGATCAATGATTTGACCTTTTTCGAAATTATTAAAGTACAACATTTTTACAGCTAGGAGAGGATATTTACAAAATAAATGGCTGCCCTAGAAATATTGGTAAAGCACTGATAACAGTTTGAATTCCTTTTTTTGAGGGGGGGGGGGGTTAAAAATAGATTTACCTGACTTATAATATTGGTAGACAAATCTAAACTCTTGAGTTGGACGAAGGACTCCAGGGATCCTGTGTTTAGGGACCTCAGTTGGTTTCCTGATAGGTCCAGGCTACTTAGGGACAAGGGGCAGTGGCTCCTCGATACTCCCAAATCCGCAATGTCTGCAATCCTACGTATACAAAAAATTTACATTTGTAATACAAAAAAATATAAAAATGGCTTGAAACTAAAAAAAGAATTCGCATTTTGTGAAAAATGATTTTGAATTTGTCCAAAAAGGCATGGAAAAATAAAATTACTGAAACCAAATTTGATAAAGGAATTGAGTCTTTGTAACAAAATCAAATATTTAAACCTCAATATCTTTAGAACCCGTTGTTGTAAACCTTTGATATTTCAAACTCTGATTATTTGATTTAACAGAATTCATAGTTTGAAATATCTAAGGTCTACAAAATTTGGTTCCAAAGATATAGTGATTAGAAAATCAGAATTTGTGGCAAAGACTCAATTCCTTTGCAACAATCTTTAGTTTTTCTTTTAAATAATAAAAAATGTTTTAAAAAGCGCCACCTGTTGTTTGATAGGTTCAAGTGGTTCAAAGAGGACAGTGTACATAATTCCTGATCTGGGAGATTCCATACTCCGGAACTAGATAGATCCAACCTAGATAGATAGATAGATAGATAGATATATCGATAGATAGATAGATAGATAGAAAGAACGAAAGAAAAAGATATTAAATATTAATAAAAGGATGGTTAGATAGATGAACAGAAAAATAGATAGATAGATAAATATACAGATAGATAAACAGATAGATATAAAGCTAGGTATATTACCTGTTTAAGTTAGGAAGTGAAGTTAGGGAGAGAGGAGAGAAGGATAGGTTCAGATCAGTCTCATACGGATGAGTTAGGATGGAGATATTTTTTAACACTGGTAACCCAGAAAAGCCACCTAGAATAAAATAAAGGTTAGATCACAGTGCATTAGAAGTTACTTTTATCCCCCTGGTCTCAGATCACAGTGCATTAAAAGTTACTTTTATTCCTCCAGCCTCTGACCACAGTGCATTAGAAGTTACTTTTATCCCCCTAGCTTCTGATCACAGTGCATTGGAAGTTACTTTTATCCCCCAGGCCTCAGAACACAGTGCATTAAAAGTTACTTTTATCCCCCTAGCCTCAGAACACAGTGCATTAAAAGTTACTTTTATCCCCCAGGCCTCAGATCACAGTGCATTAGAAGTTACTTTTATCCCCCTAGCCTCTGATCACAGTGCATTAGAAGTTACTTTTATCCCCCTAGCCTCTGATCACAGTGCATTAGAAGTTACTTTTATCCCCCTAGCCTCTGATCACAGTGCATTGGAAGTTACTTTTATCCCCCAGGCCTCAGAACACAGTGCATTAGAAGTTACTTTTATCCCCCTAGCCTCAGATCACAGTGCATTAAAAGTTACTTTTTTCCCCCAGGCCTCAGAACACAGTGCATTAAAAGTTATTTTAGAATTCTGATTTTTTGAAAAGTCCACGGAAAAAAAATTAAAATTAGTTTTGAGATTTTGTAGATCCCCACTTCTTGCAATGGGGGGGGGGTCTGCTGGAACTAAAAAGTTAAGTCTTCAGTCTCAATGTTTGTGCAATGATATTTAGTTAATTGCTGAAACTGCTTTCTTTTATTACAACAGCGCGACGAGAATAATGATTTTTTTATTATTTTATTTTTATTATTAATTCCCCCTTTACCATCTATAAATAAAATTATTATTGATATTTGATATCTATAAGAGTCACTTACAACCATAATTGATTTTGTATAGAAGCGATTAACAAACCCGCAAAAAATACACAGAAAAAATGCAAAATAGTTTGAGAAAATCCGGGAACAACCTTTAACTGTATTTCGCATAAAAGTAAATATGTATGTATTATCTTTAAAATTGTCAATTTATCAACGTATACGCACAGTAAGACTCAAGTAAGTATAATAATTGTTAACAGTCCAATTGATATTGTACAACGTTCACATATCTATCTGTAACTTAAAAGTTGATTTTTAAGCTATACTGGTAAATCTTTTGGTTTGATGGGATGTTTAACAGACTACGTAATGTCTATATTTTATATTATAAATGTTAGTTAAAACTTTCTAATGAAGTAGAACTAAAATCCTAAAATTCCTCAGTAATCCGTAGAAATAATAATTTGTCTTATATAAAACCTACTTTGTTTAAGCAGTAAAACCATAATCAAAATATCAAATTCTTATTTCCGAAATTGCTTTTACAAATGAACAAATACAAATTTGAAATATTCCAATAGAATTAGTTTGAATTTATTTAAATCATTTTTAACTAAGTATGCATGTTATGAAAACCAGGAATAGTTTAAGTTTGAATCAATTTTTGGCATTTAACAAAATTATTATTAACATATTAAATATTAAATATCTATATTACTACCTCAATAACCTTTACAAAATAATCTTAGATTTGCTGATAATTCCTCTTCAATTAAAATTTGAATAAAATTAATAAATACGTGAAAGCAATAAGGAAAAATCCTCGAATTACTTAAACACAAGATTAAAGAATACCTTTTGATTAGTTTCATACATGAAACTAAATTATTTGTAAAAAATCAATTTTTAAGAATGATTTTCAAAATTCCAAGTATATAAAACAAGTTTGATTGCCGATTGCCAGAGCTTGTGTAAACATAATTATTAATATGTCAATTATAAAAAGGGGGAACATAATTTTTGATATGTCAGTTATAACAATTACTATAAAAAAGGGGGTAAGGGGAGGGGGGGATGATAG